ATACAACAAAAAACATCCAACAAGAAACAAAAGATAAAAACAACAGCAAAATCAATAGAAACAACAACAACAACAACAAAAGAATGATGAACGAAAAAAACAAACAAAGAAAAACAACCGTCACCTGTGGCCTCCGTTTTAACTTGTCTTCCCTCCTAGACAAAAATGTAGAAGTATGAAGTACGAAAAGAGAGTCAAAGTATACGATTATAAACCATGTACAAAGTAAGTGAAACATTATGATACAACAATGAAAATTCTCTGATAGTGTCCTCCGCCCCACTCCCCCAACCTCTCTCTCTCTCTCTCTCTCTCTCTCTCTCTCTCTCTCTCTCTCTCTCTCTCTCTCTCTCTCCCCCTCGTTCTATTTCCTTCTAGTGCCAGGATCTGGACAATAAAGATCCATCTGATCTTTTCTTTCCTTTTCCCTCCATATCATGTCTTTCTAAATTCCCCATCTCAGCCAACAACAGGCGGGATGATCTCCTCACTCACCCCAGTATCCACCCCAGTCACGCGATGTATCCACCCCAGATACCTTCCCACCTGCATGTAGATCCCAAACTTCCCCAACCGACCACAGCCGAAACCCGTTGAGATGACCCCTGCCAGTGTCCAGTGAACCTGACTATCCGACGTAACCTGGACCGGGCACACTAGAGGACCCCCGGAATCTCCTTTGCAGGAATCTTTACTTCCTTCAGGCGACCCGGCACAGATGTGGAAGGACTTGAAGTAGGTGGAGCTCAGACTCCGTGCGCAAGCTCTTCGATTCTGAACCACTACATCAACCTAGGACATAGACCAAGGTAAACATGTGTGAGGCATCGTAGTTTTTTTTTAGTCTTTTGTAAGAGTAGGGTATGGTATGGGTTTAATGTCTCTATCAACACTATTAAGTCATTTAAGAGGCTCTGGTTTAACTTCTATCTACGAAAAAACTGATTCGTAAGAGTATAAGGCGCTTGAAAAACAAATTTGTCGTAATAGGGCCAACAATCCGAGCTATCACTAAATAGCAACTTGCAAAGAAAAGAAGGAGGCGGGATAAGGAGGATAAGTGCCTATATATAGGAAAGAGGAGCAACCAAAATCAGACCACCCTCCAATCACCCACTTGACATAGATGACATGAACATTAGAAGTTTCTGTTTGTACACCACCAAGTCAATACACACCACTGTTATCTAATTTATTGTTTATCATTTTTTATTCGTGTATTTATAAAAAGAGGTGTTTAATGCCAACATCGACAAATCTAATATTACACGTTTTTCCTTCAGGAAGCGGTATATGACTTTGTCTGTCAGGGTCTATCCAGGATGGGAGGGATACTACGTCTACTGTACTGTACTGTAGTATAGGGTTTTACGGCGCTCGCAACTGCTAAGGTCATATGAG